GCTACTTAATAACACTGTTTATATCTACTTAATATTTAAACTACAAGAACATGACAATGTAGCATGGCCTTGTGTAATACGATCTCTACAACATGTACATGGATCATGTTGCCATTGTGAATACTTATTCATGGCGCATGTTTCTGCTACGAATGAAACTCGAGGAGCAGTGAATTAAACGTGGAAATTATCTTCCTGTTTAATTTTAAACTGCATCACTATATTTGGCGAAAAAGCAATTTTTTAAGTTACATTGTTTCGTAAACAGAACATATATAAAAAATATTAATTTGCTTGGCAACCCCCCCTCTCCGACCCCCCGTCAAAAGTACCCCCTCCGCCAGTCAAAAGTACCCCCCTCCCCCAATGTTCAGCAACGAAATTTTTGACTAACGTACGAAAAATCCTAGATCCGCCCCTGTGTTGGTTGGTTGGGCGGTGATGTGAATCTGATTTTGTGAATGTATCGTTCCACGAAACGCGCTGCTTTTTTATCTTTCTCGCTAAGGTCCTTCCATTGCAAGCCGAGGTCGAAGAGTGTGCGATATATCGTACCATGTACGATAATATTTTTTTTTAAATAATAATTTGAAAAAACTAGGAATATAGGGTTTATGAATATATTAAATGAAATGAACTATTGCTCATTTGCTCATGAGTATATGCTCAACTGCTCATACGTTCAAAAGGGTACGATGGAAAGTATGGCTTAATTCTACCACAAGCATTGTTAGATTTCCAGTGCAATTGATGCGATGAGCAGATGAGCATGTGGTCATGAGCAGTTATTAGCAGATGAGCATGGACTTATGAGCAGATGAGCAGTTATGAGTACATGCTCATAGATGCTCATTGGCTCATGAGCACATGTTCATCTGCTCATATAAAAGTACAGTGGTGCTGAATAACAGGGCATTTTTACACAGACCTTGCTAGCGAAATGATCTGCAAATTCTGCGAAAAAACATTTAATCGAAGTTTCAATCTACGTCGACACGAAAATAAGTACTGTCCATTGAAGGATCAACAGAGAGAAATGTTAGAAACAGAAAGTCAGACAATGGACTCTGAAGGCGATTCTTCGACCGCTTCAACTCAAGGTTCTGAAAGTCCGGTGACAACAGACAATGAGACGGAAACTGAGGATGAAGAAAACGATCCTTGGATGCCAATGGTAGAAGAATCAATGCAAAAGTATAAAGCGGGTTTTGAGGAAATGAAGATGAATTTGATACACAGTGGTCTGGATGAGCAATCCGCTGGAGAAAAAGCTTACTCCAATATTCTGCCCAAGCTCCAGAAAGAGCTAGAGAGTATCTATATGGATCGTCTTTCGTGGATGAAACCATAAAGAACGATCCAGTGCATAAGAAAATAATGCAAACAAAAGATGCTTTTATGGACAATGAACATTTTGATCCCGAAGAAGCTATGCAAGCAGCTGTTGATAAGACAAAATTTCTTATCAAAAAACTTTTAAAGGATTATACTTTTACAGAGGAAAGCGATGATCAAGACCATTAAATATTTTGAGGATTTTTTTCAGATAGTGATGACCACTGAATTTGTGTAATGCATATGTGAAATAAAAACGTATCAAATATGTATTATGTCTTGTTTCATTGCAGTAGTAAGTAATAAGAAAAAAAATAATGAAACCACACCTTTTCTCGCGTTCGAGCCTTTTGATCGTATGAGCAGATGGATATGTGTTCATGAGCATATGAGCGCATGCTCATCTGCTCATAAGGCTCGAACGCGAGAAAAGGTATGGTTTCATTAATTTCTTTTTCTTATTACTTACTACTATTTTTCTTATTACTCACTACTATTTTTCTTATTACTCACATATGCATTACACAAATTCAGTGGTCATCACTATCTGAAAAAAATCCTCAAAATATTTAATGGTCTTGATCATCGCTTTCCTCTGTAAAAGTATAATCATTTAAAAGTTTTTTGATAAGAAATTTTCTCTTATCAACAGCTGCTTGCATAGCTTCTTCGGGATCACAATGTTCATTGTCCATAAAAGCATCTTTTGTTTGCATTATTTTCTTATGCACTGGATCGTTCTTTAGTTGTTTCATCCACGAAAGACGATCAATATAGATACTCTCTAGCTCTTTCTGGAGCTTAGGCAGAATATTGGAGTAAGCTTTTTCTCCAGCGGATTGCTCATCCAGACCACTGTGTATCAAATTCATCTTCATTTCCTCAAAACCCGTTTTATATTTTGCATTGATTCTTCTACCATTGGCATCCAATGATCGTTTTCTTCATCCTCAGTTTCCGTCTCATTGTCTGTTGTCACCGGACTTTAAGAACCTTGAGTTGAAGCGGTCGAAGAATCGCCTTCAGAGTCCAGTGTCTGACTTTCTGTTTCTGACATTTCTCTCTCCTGATCCTTCAATGGACAGCACTTATTTTCGCGTCGACGTAGATTGAAACTTCGATTAAATGTTTTTCCGCAGAATTTGCAGATCATTTCGCTAGCAAGGTTTGTGTAAAAATGCCCTGTTATTCAGCACCACTGTACTTTTATATGAGCAGATGAACATGTGCTCATGAGCCAATGAGCAACTATGAGCATGTACTCATAACTGCTCATCTGCTCATAAGTCCATGCTCATCTGCTCATGACCACATGCTCATCTGCTCATCGCATCAATGGACCTTTCACCTTTTGACTAAAATTTAGATTTCAACAAGTCTAGACAAAAATTTTATCACAGCTTGAAAGAGCATCACAAAATTAGTAATATTCCAATGTTTCATTGCGAAATGTTGTAAAATGCGGATAATATAGCCTTACGAAGTTTGCCATTTTCAGTCATTTTGTATTACGCGCGGGAAATACATACCTCCTTCGGAAAAAGGGTATGTATTTCCCGTTTGTAATACAAAATGACTGAAAATTGCAAACTTCGCAAGGCTATATTATCCGCATTTTACAACATTTCGCAACGAAACTTCGGAATATTACTAATTTTGCGATGCTCTTTCAAGCTGTGATAAAATTTTTGTCTAGACGTGTTGAAATCTAAATTTTAGTCAAAAGGTGAAAGGTCCATTGCACTGGAAATCTAACAATGCTTGTGGTAGAATTAAGCCATACTTTCCATCGTACCCTTTTGAACGTATGAGCAGTTGAGCATGTGCTCATGAGCAAATGAGCAACTATGAGCATGTACTCATGAGCAAATGAGCAATAGTTCATCTCATTTAATATATTCATAAACCCTATATTCCTAGTTTTTTCAAATTATTATTTTGAAAAAAAAAATATTATCGTACATAGTTTAGATAAATATCCTAGGTACGTGTAAGAGATACGTACCTCGGGTACGTACCCAAAAAGCTATAAATACACTAATAAAAAAATACAGCCTCCATTCCAACATGGACAATATCACTGGTGTCATAGATATGGACGGATTTACTATTAACAAGATATGTTACTGCAAAGAACTTGCATGCATCAGAAAAGGACCTTAACGAGAAAGATAAAAAAGCAGCGCGTTTCGTGGAACGATACATTCACAAAATCAGATTCACATCACCGCTCAACCAACCAACAGTCCCCCTATTCCGTTTATCCGATATTGTTAAAGAATTCTTCAGTGAACCAGATGCATTGGTGGCATATAAAGGGGGTCACTTCGAAAAGGATCTGTTACGTCGTTACCTCCATCAATCTCGAATTTTCTGGGTGTCCTAAAGCCGAACTCCTTTTCAAGGATCTTGGATGGGTAGAAACCTGCGGACACCATCTCACCCCAAATGCATACCATCATTGCCCTAAAGTCGAGATCGAAGCGTTTGCGATGTGGTTATGGTAAAAAACAAAAAACGGTTATTTTAAGAAGCACAATATATTAAAAGAATAAAAACGTCTCATTTGCATATCAAAACATTTCTATTTCTTGTGTCCTTTTTAATAGCCAAAATCTATATTCTCAATATTACGGTACGCGCTTACGCAGACTGTTCCGTGCCCATGCTTATACATATATTGTTAAACGGGACCCAGGGACCTTGTTCAGGACGCATTTTAACGCGTCCTTGCGTCCCGTAAGACTGTTCCATGCCCATGCTTATACCATGGATGATAAAATAAATGGATAGGAAACTAGCTGACGTGACCTAATTTTTCAATGAGCTGATGGCGTGATTGGATGTTGAAACCTAGTTGCAAACCAAATTCTCAAAAACGGCATGTTTAGCAATAATACAGCTAAACATTTTAGTCAAAAAGCAAATGAATATAACTACGCCATTCTACGATGAAATCTCTAAGTATTCCCAGTCAACTTAGCAAATATTTCAAGCACTAAACAGTGAAAAATGCATCCCAAATTTCGTTAAAATTGGGGACGCCAATTTCGTAGCTACAAATGTAAAAAAAAAATACAAAACAAAGACGAAAAACATTTACCTTGAATACTTTGTCGTGACTTAGGCATGTTTTTAAAACAATTAGACCAGTTTATGCTTCAATATTACTGTTTTAAAGCGGAAAGTATAGCGAAACAACAAAAATGCCGAGAACTTTGCAATACGCGTGACGTCACAGATTGCAACCAGGTCATAGATTAAGTAAGGATATATACTTCATATACTTCATCCATACTTATATACATCTATACTTATATACATATATACTTCGTATATACTTCTTCTGTGACCAGGTTGTTTCTGCTTACGTCAGCTAGAGTCCTATCCATTTATTTTATTATCCATGCTTATACATTTTTATCTTATCCATTTATTTTATTATCCATGCTTATACAGCTAACCAATCAGAGATGGGCATGGTTATGACGTAGTTCATGGGTGTACGTACACCGCGTACGTACGGGGTGTACGTACACCGTGTACGTACCCCATGTACATACAGTACTATATGTACAGGGTGTACGTACACCGTGTACGTACACCTTGTACGCGTACGTACACCTCTAAATACACTTCCCCATAATCATCAAACACACATCGAGATGGAATGCATAGGAGTTTTACCAGCGCCTGAAGATGTTATGCAACCAGCAAATATACCTCTATTCGGAATCCTGGCGGAAAATACCACAGAACCAGGACAGTGCTATTTCTGCTTTGAACAGATTGATGGAAACGAACTACTTGCGATGACGATGCAATGCTGTCAACAAAAAGCTCATTGTCGATGCTTCCAAATGTGGGCGGCGCAATACAACGGCACAGCCATCGGAACCGTACGGTGTGGGTGCTGCAGAACATCAAGCCAGGACAAGGAACTCTGTTACCTGTGCTTACAGAATAAAAACAACGGACAAGAACTAAACAAAACCCGATGCTGTCAAACAACGATCCATAAAAACTGTACGGAAATACTAAAAGAACTACTGACCAAGCTGACATTCGAATTTTCGCTAGAATGTGGTGAATTAACCTTTTGTGGATGCATCTGGCACAAATTCTAAAAACATTATAATTATCAAAAATCTCTACTGTAAGCTACCGTAAAAAGTTAATAAATTGCTTTCAAATATTCATCGTTGTACGCCATTTTGAACATTTCCTTACTTTCGGGTTTCCATGACGTCATTGCTTCCGCCGCTTCTGCATACTAATTACTTCCAGCGCTCTATACGCTCCTGCATACTAATTACTTCCGCCGCTATACGGGACTTCCGGAGCTATACGGGGAGTAATACTACTTTTGTTACCTAATAATCTTAAGATCTATAAGCGAGAAGCTTGATGAGGCAGCTTTAGTTAATGATATTCAAACCATAGATTGGGACAATGCATTTTCCTGCTGTTCTGACGCTAGTTCTATGTTTGAATAATTTTATGAAACTATATCACAAAAAGTTGATAAATATATTCCAACAAAGTGATGTCTGAGAAGGAATTAAAAATCCAGTATAAACCATGGATTACGTCTGCTATTAAAACATCCATCAACACAAAAAATAAATTCTACAAAAAAATTCTAAAAACTAAATCTGTTCATTTTCACTCTAAATTTAAATATTACGGAAATAAAATAAACCATCTTATTAGATTATCTAAACAACAATGCTATAATAAATACTTTACCTCTAATATTAATAATAGCAAATAGTATGGAAAGGCATAAAAAATTATACATAGTAATCCCAAATCACATCAACAACCTACAAAAGTTCTTGAAAATAACTGTAAATTACAGATACAAATTTAATTGCAAATGCCTTTAATAGATACTTTACTAACATTGGCAATCAATTATCGAATAAGATACCGGAAGCACAAAAATCATCACTAGATTATCTAACAACTCCTCAACGTGATAGCTTTTATACATCCTATAATATCGTTGGAGATAGAAAACGCAATAATGTCTTTAAAGACAAACAGTCTACTGGTCCTTTTAGCATACCAATTTGAGTATTAAAATTACTTAAAAGTGCTATAGCAACACCCCTGGAAACAAATTTTAATGAGTCCATTTTAACAGGAATTGTTCCTGAGAGATTTTAAGCTGGCAAAAGTAATACCTGTATTCAAGAAAGGTCTGTCTACCAATTTAAATAATTATCGACCTATTTCTCGTCTGTCGATTTTTAATAAACTTCTAGAAAACTAGTGTTTAATAGATTAATAGTTTTTCTCAACAAAAATAATATTCTTCACAACAAACAGTTTGGATTTCATACAGGATATTCTACTGATTCTGTGATTTTGTGTATTGTCGATAAAATTTAAACATTTGTAGAGTACCAATTTTCATGTGGTGTATTTTTGGATTTCAGTAAGGTATTCGATACAGTTAATCATGATAAAATTATTCTGATTAAGAAACTTGAGCATTATGGAATTCGAGGGATAGCAAAAGATTGGCTTGCTTCCTATCTTAGTAATCGAAAACAATTTGTCTTTTTGAATAATGTATCATCAGATCAACTAACACTATCTTGTGGTATTCCCCAAGGATCGGTACTGGGACCATTGCTGTTCCTGTTATATGTAAATGACTTCAATTGTTGCTCAAAACTTCTAGATTTTCATTTAGTTACAGACGATTCAAATCTTTTCTATAAACACAAAAATTTGCTCACGTTACAAAATGACTTAAATAATGAGCACAAAAATGTACACATATGGTTGTGTTCAAATCGCATTTCTCTGAATATTGAAAAGTCATATTTTGTTATTTTTCATCCTCCACAAAAGAAAATATCTTCAAACCTCAAATTATATTTGAATGGAAAAAAATTAAAACAAGAACTTTGTATTAAATATTTGGGAATCTACATAGATTCTAATCTTAACTGGAAAAGTTTTCTTTCGAATAAAGGTTTCTTTCTTTCTTTCTTTCTCAAAAGTTGTATAAGCGCGCTGATAATCTGGTATATGAAACGCGCTGGCTTAAACGCGCAAAGAATTTGTATTTACAAATAGGCAACAAATGAAAGCTTTTCACTCATTGTTAGCGGTTCAGGAGTACAGAAGTACAGCAATATGGAAACCAGCAAAGGTATATGTTCAAGATAGTCTTGTCAATTTTGTAAAAATTGGCTCTCGCCTTTTATTAGAAAATTTAATGTATTTTATCAAACTTAACAGGAAAAATGTGCTATATGTTGTAATTGACAATGTTGTCATGTGCTTATATAAAACTGCTCATGCAGTGTCGGTGTGTTATAAAGTAAAAATAGCAGTCTGCAAGGATACTAGTTGATGCATGTGTTAAGAAATGCTGCCGTATTGATTTGTTCAGTTTTAAGAGTTCATGCAACGGAAGTTTTAAACACATAAGCATTCTTGTTTTGTGAAATTCTGTGGCGATATGGCGTACAAATAAAAATACGTCAAAATTTTGCCCATTCCCTTTTTCGGAAATAGTGCTTATAACTATCCTTATCAGTCAATATTCGTAGAATAGCTGGTTAGTGGGTATATGCTGGGAAAAAAGTGTCCGATATAATTTTTTAACTCTAAAATGGCTCTAAAACAGCCGCCTGCATGCTTAGGAAAACACTATAACAATTTGCTATTGATTCTTATCTTACTCTTAAGGCATTAAGAGTGGTTGTCTGTAATAGTCAGGTAAGACATGTAAAATGAGAAAATTCAAAATCTTTCAAACTTTGTCAGAATGTAGGCCTGTATGAAGTATTAATGTTGTGAAAGTTTTATTTCGATCGGATAAATATTGAAGGAGAGAGACGTCGAAATTGGTTTTCCCAGGCCACTTTCGGTTTTTCGAGGTAATTTTACGGCACTACCAAAGTCGCTCTATTTTGCACGTTAATGGGAATATATCACAAAATATTATTTCGTTTTATAAATTAGAGTTTTTTATTGATTAGCAGACAAAATTTAGAGACATTTCTGTTAAAAGTGAATATTTTACAGATTTTCTTAATGTTTTTGTTATTTTTGAACCTCTTTATTATATGCCATATTAGGCAGCGAATATCTCCATTGTTACATCGATTCAGACACAAAATTCATAACCAGGTCAAAGAAATATGTTTTCGCTTCCTACTGATCAACTAAAATTTTGGGGCAACTTAGAATTGAATTTTTGATGAATTGTTTCGTAACCCCTATTTGACCCGAATAACCATATGTTATGTAATCAACGACGAGTCATGTAGTTCAATAAATAACCAAGAACTCGTCAAAAGCGTTTATTTCTTCAAGTAAACAAGCCTAGGCCTATAAAACTATACCTTAGCTAAAGCTGTATGATTGGCAGAAAGCATTTAGGTCTAAATCACACTGTTTACAGTCGCTTATTGCAGGTAATGCCTAGAATATATTGTATAGCCGGCGCCGCTGATTTGGCGGATTTGGTTTTAATTATATTTTATGAGGGATATGCCGCGATAAGAAAAGCAAGTATATTTTCTCTCCCCTTCCTATAAACATGTGCTCTTTCACGACTCATCGTGCTTATAACTTTTTGAACATAAATAGTGCACGCCCTTTTTGTCAAAAACATCGGTCAGTTTACGTTGAAATTGTAATTCGTTTACTTACAGTAATTAATTTAATTAATATTAAAGCTGGATTCTTTCACCGTGATGTCATGCCAAAAGGTGTCTTTTCTATTTTTAAAAAAGACCCTCTGTTCATTTATGATTTGGTAATATTTACTACAGTTGTATGTCTTGTATATTTGATTATTTTGTTGTTGCTCAATAACTTTAGTCAAACTTCAGACCAAACTTCTACGCACTGTTACTTATTTAGTAGTTTTAACTGGCCATCACTTTTAAAACAGCAAGAAGATAAAGACAATGTGTGAGTTATCCATGAAATAAATAGTTGGTTTACAAAATGAATTCTGTCTTCGTGGATAAAATTAATGAGTTATAAATAATCTCTCCCGTATGTGTTAAGCTACATGTAGGGATTTCCCCCGGTATATTTCTTCTCTTTTGTATGGCTGTTTGTGGTTACGCGTTATCTGACATATACATTTGGTCCCTGAATTTCAATTACATTTATCCAACCATTTCTGGATGATACATCTCGAACACTCAGGCAGTTCCCAGGCCAAAAAAGTCAACTTGAAAGGGGGCCCGGGAATGCTGGAATTGTGCAACGTGTTCTGAAATTGAGGTCGAAAAAGGTCTGAAAAGTATTTTGAACCCCCCATTATCTCAAAAATAATTTTTGGAACGTTTTTCCCAAAAAAACGTCGCCCCGCCCACCCATCCCCCTCCCACCCTTTACATTTTACTGTAACATTTTAGCTTACCAGAAAACATTTTGAGGGGGCCCCCGAAAAGGAAGGGGGCCAAATTTTTTAAGTTCAATATTCCCCTCCCCCACCCCCTCCCCCAACCAGATATCGCTTGGCACGTCCTGGCAGTAATACTCTATTTGTAACAGGGATATTTCAAAATGCTGATAAGGAACTCAGTCTAATTATATAAATTAATTTTGCAATAATGGGGGGGGGGGGGTTCAAAATACTTTTCAGACCTTTTTCGACCTCAATTTTCAGAATATTCCTTAATATTTAACACTTTGCACAATTCCACCATTCCGGGGCCCCCTCTGGGAAAGTTGGCCTGCCTTTCTTGATTTTTCTTTGGCCCGGAGTACTGCCTGTGTTGTAAATGTATCATCCAGAAATGGTTGGATAAATTTAATTGAAATTGGATCAAAAGTATATGTCAGAATGTCAGGTAGAGAATAATGAACTAATCGGCTCATGCAGGTGAAAGACGACACTCTGTTCTCAAACTGGAATCCTAGCTAACGTCGTGCAACGTCAGGTGTCCCTTGATTTCTTTTATCACAATCATTAAGAAGAACGCATTCTGAATCGGCTGGATTAGAGTTGCTGGCACCACATGACCCAGTGACAAGAGACAAGTAATCAGAAACAATGATACAAAAGAGAAGGTATATACCGGGGGAAATCCCTATATGTA